GATGCTGTCTGCCTCTCTGTAAATTCTTTTTTTAATAGCCGTATTGCCTGGATGGTTCTTCAAATTCCATCAATGACTTCTCCAAAGCTACTCATATTATTCTCTTTCTCTGATGTTTTATGCATTCTTTACACTTTATAAGGATCCTAATTATATTTGTGCAGCTTGTGGGACTATACAAACATTGTTATGAACTTTCTCTGTGGGCCTACACCTTCAGATGGATCATCTACTTCCCATTTTGATTGGCTTCGGTACTTTGATGTTGTCATCACTGGCAGGTTATTTTTCTTCCTTTCAAACTTTCGAGAATATGCACATGTTCATCTTTTGGTGCCAACCATATGCAGCGTTATAGGGCAAATGCCTGTCGCTGTTTCTACATCTAGCTATTGTTGCAGAATCGCCCTGCTGACAAATAAGTACTGGATTTGATGCAGTGCAAAACCAGGCTTTTTCCATGATGAAAACCGAGCAAATCTTTTTGAGGTTGAACCTGAGAGTGGCATGCTTATTAACACTGATAATGGGACTCCTATGGCACAGGTCAGTGCAGAAAAACTTAGTTTTCTCTCAGCCACTGCCTTGTCCATTTTGTGCATGTTCTGACTTTGTCTGATACATTAGGTGGGAAGCACTTCTATAAGATTGCCGTTAAAGAGCTTGAAGAAAGGCTGCAGAATTTACCAGGTGCGGATGCAGATATAATTCGTGCTGCTTAGTTTGTGGAATTTGATGGTTTGTGTAAAATGACTGTATATTTTTCCTAATTTCTCTTCAGGGGGGAAATGTTGGCCATTTGCATAAATTACTCTCAATTGAGTCAAGCTCACAGGTATCTTCCAAATTTTATATAGTCTTACTCTTGATTACTACTTTTTACTTCTTTCAGCAATTCTGTTTTGTTAATGATTTATAGGGGTGTCAAATGGGCGGTTTGGGCTGATTTTGGGCGGGTCAAAATGGGTTGGGTCAATAAATGGGCGGGTCAATGATCCGCCCAAAAGTAACTTGGGTTGAGATGGGTTGGGTCAAGTTAGGCTGAAATTTGGGTCTTAGCCCAACCCGCCCAACTCTTAACAAGCTTTAATTAATGTGTATTATTTTCTTATGAATTGTTTAATTATCAAATAAGACTTTTTTTCTTTTGTGATGGTCATATATAAATATCCAACAAAAAATAAATTATTTTTTAAGTTATTTTAGGAAAATTATTCATGTATCAATTTGGGCTGAAAATTAGCCCAACTTTAGATGGGCTGAAATGGGTTGGGTCAAGACGAGCTGAGTTCAACAATTGACCAGCCCAACCTTGGGCGGGTCAAATGGGTTTCGGCTCAAATTGCCACCCCTAATGATTTACAGTGTACAAGCACAAAGACATATCTTTAAATACTCTATATGGTGGAAAGAGACAGCACTTAGCTTTGTCAGGAGTCTAATTTCACTCTAGGAAGTCATGGAGAGAAGGAGTAGTGGATTTACTTGGTGTTATCATGAGCTTGTCATGTATCTAATTGTGTGACAAAATATGGTGTTTAATTTGCATTTTTATTTACTTATTGGGATCTAACACATTTTTCTCTTCAATTAGGTTCTTTATGTTGGAGATCACATTTACGGTGATATCTTACGCAGCAAAAAGGTTTTGGGTACGCATTCTCCATTTCATGTGCTCCTCTTGCTATTTTCTGTCTCTTGTTTTTCATATATTGGTAATGAGTTCTAATAAGGCTTCCGAACACCTTTCTAGTTCATCAAACTACGTAAGCAACTGATACATCCAGTATGTTGGAGCCATATTAGAACAATTATGACAAGTGATACTTGTATGTATCAGATTTAATAAAATAAATTTAGGTGGGCATTTACATTATTTGTGACCATGTGCAACTAAAATCATTAAAGCTGTTGATTCCAAGATTTTCAAAATCAATATTTCCATGGATGGAAAGAAAATTAATGTACCCCAAATTTTCTCCCCAGTAGAGTTTTCCATGGTCATGGCTATCTCGTATCCAACCCGTAGCTGCTCCTGCATACCTCTTTTATTTTTTTCCCTTTGCTTCTTTTAAAAGTTTGAATTAAAGACTTTAGAATATTATGATGTTTGAGCAGGTTGGAGAACAATGCTTGTTGTTCCAGAGCTTGAGAGAGAAGTTGAACTTCTCTGGGAACTAAGGAACACTCGGAAGGTATATAAACATATCCTTCAGCTCTTTCTGTGTACTCCATAGATTTTTCTGTACTTCATATGCTTTTTAGTTCTTTATACATGAGAACATAATCAACAAGAATAACTAATTTGGCTTTGGAAATGGAGAAACATTCTGTGCTTGTGAGAGCCTTTCGGCACACCCGTTTCCTCAACGTTGGACACTTTAACAACAGCTTTACTGGTCTTTTTCAGGTTTATCCTTAATTGGTATCTTACTTTAATCACTTTTTTCTCTTTTCTTAATTAGATCTTTTGATATATTTATAATTGGAAATCTCAGGGAAAAGCAGTTTTGCTGTTATCTAAGCAAATAACTTCACTCCATAGCCATACACTAGTTATGCGTGGAAATATTTTTTCCTCTATGGTCTTTGAGCTAATGATGAAGCAAATGAATTATGTGTAAATTTATGGCATTTTACTTTAAACCCGAAAATGTCTGCTTTATGTTATGCTACATTGTTATGGTAAATGGTAATGTAAATAATTGCAATTTCACATTATTTTGCAGCAACTTCAGTTACTGAGGAGTCAGCGTGATCACATTGAAGATGAAATTCACCATCTTAAGTGGTCCCTCAAGTAATAATTCTCTCCCTTTCATTTTGAATTGTAGAGCTCATACTTGCATGGTTTTTTGGTTTTGCTCTTTATCTGTGTGATTCTTTTCATCTCTAGTCCCTTCTGCTAAGAAAGTAGGAGGAGAAAAGAAAATTGAGGAAATAAAGAAGCAAAATCAAGGTGGTTGGAGAATTCATAAAACTGACTTCATAGTTTTGGATTGAGATTTAGTTGATTGAAGCTTGTCGGAGAATGACAGAGAAGAAGGATACCCTTTATTTGTGAATACAGACTTTCTGCCTCCATGAGACCTTATTCCAGTATGGAGTAGTATTATGACTGAGCAGTAATAAGTTTCCCTTAAGTTGAGAAATAAGAAGCCTTTTGTTTGTGTGTCTTGGACGAAGATCTTCGTCCATTCTTAGAACCATTTTGACAGAGGATACTCCTACAATTGTGTGAATATAATTTTTGTACCATCAGAAATCAGCTCTTTTCCGTTTGTCTTGAATCATTTCATGAGCTGTCATATGCTTCAGGTCTGAAGATACTGATGATACCAGCAAGGAGAAGATGTTGTCCGAGCTTGACAAGCTGAAGGTTAGTTATTTCAAGATATAGAAAGATAAATTTCAACCCACTAACAGAAACAGTCCTATATCTAGTCAATCTCTCTATCTTGATATCTGTAATGGGGTTTAATTAATCTGGTTCTAATGGTGTCATTTTATAGTCTCAAAGTGAGGAGGTCAGGCTCAGTCATCAGCAGGCACAACGAGAATGTCACCAAAAGGTATGATTTGTTAAAGAGAGATAAGTTCTTTCAAATGTGGGATTATTTCTTTAGGGAACAATTCATCCTTGCCTGGAGCAAACTTTAGTGAAACTTTTAAATAATAAGTAATAATACTTTCTACCTGTGTTCTGTTTGACGCTGGCTAGGTTTGGTATTAATAAATTGGTTTTAATTTTCAGAAAAGAAAATATTATACTTTTTCTTTTCTCATGAAGACATCTAACATTTACAGTTCCACAATGTCTGGGGACAACTCATGAAGACCGGCTATCAGAATTCTCGCTTTGCACATCAGGTACGATTAAGTACTTGGGTAGTATCCTGCACTTGGTGGGTTTGTGAAGTTCTCTTTACTTTGTGGGCGTGATCTTTACTTGAGAACTGAAGTTGCATTGTGTTGATTCATAGGTGGAGAGGTTCGCGTGCCTTTATACCAGTCAAGTGACAAACTTGAGCCTGTATTCCCCAGATAAGTACTATAGGCCGAGCGAGGATTTTATGCCCCATGAATTTGACATCCTCTCTATTTGAAGAAATCATATCAGCCAGGAGGCGCAGGCAGTGCATTTTGAAGAAGAGCTTTGCTCATTCTAACTTTTAGGTGCATCCACATCTTTTATATATTGAGTTCTTTGATTTAAGTCATCTGGGAATGCAACCCTTTAAGTTGTACCAACGTAGAAAGTCTTTATGTTTTGTGGTTAAATAACTCAAATGTATCATAATTTGTTTTGTGTTATCTCATTTATGCACTTGCCTGATTGTGGATTTGCATTATATTCTCTGTACTTTATAAGATTGCATGGATTTTACCGGCAAGGGTCGTGGTGGAATGATTTGGATTTTCCCAACCTTATTTAGAGGTCAGGAGTTCAAAGCCTATGACTACGGGTGACAAACGGGCGGGTCGAAAACAAATAATGCAAAACGGATAAATGATCCGACTCGACCCACATATAATACCGGATAAACAACGACTCGACCCACATATAATACCGGATAAACAACGGGCTAACCGTATAATATGGATATCCATATTATCCATGTCTTCTTGAATATGATCATTTTTAGGAGAATTGCTAGTTTTCCATACTTGAGGAACTTTAAATTTGAGTCTTTATAAATGTAAAAGTTAAACCCATTAGTTATTCATTGGTTCTCCATTTTTTAAGTAGATAATATGGTTCTTTTCCATATTTGACCCGTTTTTAGAAGGTTCATTAACCAATCCATTTTCAGTGGATAGTATGAATGAATTTTTTTTTAGAAATCTATTCCCACCCCCACTACCTATGACCAAGAAATTAATAAAAGTATTGTCCATCATCTTCAAATTAGAAGAGAAAAAGAATTGAAGAAAAGAACATCCAAATCCTGTAAGAAAAGAAGATTCTACTGAATCTTCTCTTTACCATGAGGATATGTCAAATGGCTTACATTCCTTTTTCAAAAAAAAATGCCAGCATCTCCATGTTCCCTGGGTTATGGATATGATTTTGCATAGTTGTTGTTCATTACAGGCTGGAAAATTCTGCACTTTTTAAATCCCCTATCTTTGGCCCAAAATAGATAAAACATTTTATCATGTGATTTTGGAGCTTGTTGGAAATACTGAAGATTTCTTCTTGCAAAACACATCTTGGTGAGGGAATCACATCCTTTGACTATAAGCAAAAGGATGAGGCAAATTCTATTCCACTTCATTGGACAGTCCCCTCAAAGGAGGATCACTTTATGCTTGTTCCTATCAGGCTAAGCAACAACAACAACATGCCCAGTATAGTCTCACAAGTGGAGTTTGGGAAGGGTAGTGTGTACGCAGACCTTACCCTTACCTGGCGAGGTAGAGAGGTTGTTTCCGATAGACTCTCAGCTCAAGAAAAGATGAAAAGGGAGAAAACGGAAGAAGAAGAAGAAGAAGAAGAAGAAGAAGAAGAAGAAAGGGAGAAAAAGACAACAACAACAACGACAAGTAAAAGAAAAAGTAGCATCAAATAGAAACAATCCGGAAAATACGATACACGAAGCGAACGAGACAATAGGCAAATACTAGAGTTCAAAGAATACGAAAAAACATGAGTACTACTAATACTACTAGAAAAGAACGGGGAACTCTCGACTACCTACTATCTTTCTACCCTAATCCTCGACCTCCACACCCTTCTATCAAATTAAGCGAACCTATAAATACTTTTACCTTTGATTTGTCCACTTTAACTAAGCCGTTTGCACGATTTTTTGGGAAAAAGACCACACTATTAAGAGAATCGCATAGTACCTTATATGCAACTTCTTATAGTCAACTTTCATTGCTAGATTTTGTTCGCACACCTAATATTATATTTAAAAATAATCAAAATATATTTCCTCTTTTCTCGTGCAAGAACAATATTAGCCTTTGAGTTGGAAGAATCCACACAATGATAGAAAGTCACACTTGGACACTAGAAGTGGGAAAAGGTAAGGTTAGGCAGCAAGCTCAAATTGCAAGAAGGGACCATTATTAGGATTCTAGGAAAATAATTACAGGATCACTTTGAAAGATTTTTGACAAAGAAATGGGATGATAAGGAATCTATTTATCTCAGTAGCATGATGTATATTTGAGTATCAACTTTTGAAAAGTTTCCCAAGAAAGTTGAAAAGCTCATTTTCCACTTCTCCATAATTTGGGACAGTGACCTAAGAAATTTGAACAGCCCAAACTCCAATATGAACTAAAGAAAATATCCATTATCTTGGAGGAAATTAGGTTCTGAAACCTACTAATATCTGATGAGTTATTTCATATATGGTCACTAAAATTTTACTCATTATAATAGTTAAGTGACGAAATTATTTTTTGTCACGTAAAAGTAATTGAATATTATCCATCATAACTACAAAACCTACCTATCAAGGTGGACTTTAACTAGTATAGTAAGCATAGTTTTGTGTCTTCACTCATGTTATAGTAGGTAAATTAAAGTTCAGTGACACAAAGTATTTGGTGACTTTACTCATGTAATAGTGGATAAAATTTAGTTATTTTAATATGACAACATATAATTAATTTTGTAACATTACAGTTATAGTAAATGAAGTTGAGTGACCATAAGAGAAATTTATCTGCCATTGCCTTGAGCTGTCAAGTTTGGCCCAAGCCCAAATGAACCGCCCAACCCATCCAAGGTTGAGCTAGTTATTGACCCGCCTATTTATTGAACTCAACTCTTCTTGACCCAACTCATCTCAACTCATATAAAGTTTGGCTAATTTTTAGTCCAAATTGATCCATGAGTAACTTTGCCAAAATATTTTAAAAATATTTTTTTTATTTGATATGTTATATATGACCATAACAAAAGATAAAAAGTCTTATTTAGTAATTATACAATTCATAAAAAAATAACACATATTAATTAAAGCTTGATATGAGTTGGGCGGGTTGGGTTATGACCCAAATTTTAGGTTAAAATAGCACGGTATAGCCAGTTTTCGGACTGGCCATTCAAAAATAGCCAGCGTTTACCAAGTCAATGAAAAATAGCCACTATTTTGCTGCAGCAGAGACCGGTCCAGCATAATATACTGGAGTTTGGTGCACCTGTGTATGAACTCCAGCATATTATGCTGGACCGGTATACTTTGCTGGCTCCAATATAATTTACTGGAGATTGGAGCACCGGTGCTCCAAACTCCAGTATATTATGTGGACCGGTATACTTGCTGGAACTCCAGTATATTATGCTGGAGTTCTAGAGTACTTATGCTGGAACTCCATCATATTATGCTGGAGTTCCAGCATACTTATCTTGGAACTCCAGTATAATATGTTGGAGTTTAAATATACTTATGGTGGAACTCCAACATAATATGCTGGTGTATTTTCCGGGTTTTGAACAGTGTTTTCGTTCAGATTTATCTTAACATGAAAAGTGGCTAAATATCGATTACTTTTGAAACTGGGCTATTTTTGAACGACCAGTTGTAAATCTGGCTATTTTTGAATTTCGCCCAAATTTTAACCCATCTTAACCCAGTCCATCTCAACCCCAAGTAACTTTTGGACGGGTCAATGACCTATCCATTTATTGACTTAACCCATTTTAACCCCTAGCTTGGACATTTGTTAATGTTACAATCTTGCTTTGCTGTGGCACTAAATCTTTCATGTAAAAATGACTGATTCCCTATCCTTTGTCAAAGTAAGCTGAAAATGTCAATATGGTTTTATTCAAGTATATATGTAGAATATAAAAGCCCGACTTCAAGTTGCGAAAAGTTTTGGGTGCCTAAAGGAAGAACAAAAAAATAAAAGGAAAAAAAATTTTGGTTGTTATCTCATATTACATTCTATTTCTTCTTTTTTGAGACATCGATTAGTCATAACTAGTCATATCTATGGTAATTTTGGCTATTATTGTGGGTTTGTTGCTTCGGATAATATTGTTACTCTTTTGCCAAACACTTCGGGATTTGTTTATGTTGGTCTATCATTTAATATTTTGTCTGCATTAAGTCTCAAATTCGGTTCATAGGATTGCGAAGGTGAAGAAGAAGGTAGTAGTTGCTCAGCGACCCCAAGAGGCACAAGATACTTGAACTTATTTCTGTTTTGTAGATGCTTTTAAATTTTGGTAAAACAGAAACTCTGCCTATATAAGTATGTGTTGTCCATTTTCAAATTCCTATATTACTTGCATTCACAAAGTCTCAGAGTTGCATTTGTTTTATTCACATCTTGCATTTGTATACTTGTACGAATAGAACGAATGAACAAGATATTGATGTATTAGTTGATCATATTTACTTTGAAGAAGTGCATAATATTGGTGTAAAATTTACTTTAGAAGTTTTGTTTTAGGTAATATGACAAGATCATTGGGATAAAGTTGGTACACTAGTTGCAATTGATGTCTCTCTTATATCCTAATATTTCCTGCTGTTGTTTCCTCATTTGGTGCTTGTTATTCGGCAACATGCTTATTGTCAAGAAAGCCATTTCTATTGCTACCTAATAATCTTGCAATGAGAATTTTTTTCTTTTCTTTTTAAGACAATGTATGTGAGCACAGATTATTTTTGGTTTAGATTGGAGCTATCTCCTTTTTTATTTTGCTTGCTATGAATCAGACTTCAATTCCATGGATGTCCTTACTGTCTTTAAGTATAATTAGCAACTTCCTTTCGTGAACAAATAGATAATTTAACTTTTTTTTTGTATTCATTACACCTATGTAATGACTGTAAGCTTGTTTTGGTATGATATGAATAAGGTTAGACTTCCTTGAGCCTTCTTATCTCTCTTGATTTTCCATATACGAGGCTTTGACATAAAATGAAGAAGCAAGATTGAGGTGTGTTGGCCCAAGTTCAGATGAAGTTTTGAAGATTGACAAAATGAACTCAGTCATGAACCAGGTCCATCATGTGAGACACAGTGTTGATATGCTTACACATGTGACATACGCGTGAAGAAGATAAGTCTCAAGGATCAGCAACAATATCTTCTGAATTGATCGAAAAGATTGCATATAGGATAAGGAGTTGAAGTCTCCTTATGAAAAGAGAATTATATCCGGATCAAGGATATGGATTAGGAGTTAAAGTTGTTCTTGGACTCGAATTGTCAAAGGATCCACAATTCGAGTTCTTATCAAACTCTGATTACTAACTCTATAAATATAACGATTGTTCTCTTTTACAGGTGATTGCACATAAGCAGAAGTTAAGCATATTTGAGAGCAAAAAGATCAAGTCTGATTTGCAAGCAACATATGCGAGATACAAGTGTG